AGCAGCGAATCAGCAGCGAATCAGCAGCGAATCAGCAGCGAATCAGCGGCTCGTTGGGCTCGGTTCTGTCTCGTCAGGCGCAGGATGAGCTCAGCAGCAGAAGACGCCGCTGCTCCGTTAGAAACGGTCAAATCCGTCACGTTAACTCGAGACGCTGATGGAAGCATCGTCCTGCACTGTCCTCCAAACGGTGGGTCACAAACAAACACACACCTGATTATCTTCTGATTTATTTCTGGTTTTTTATTTTTATAATCCTATGATGCCATATAAACAAAGTAATCCTTCAGATAAACACATTTAAAACTGGTTTGAACAAATATGCAAACAAACTTTTATTTTTACCTGTTTAACTTAACGGAATCGCATTAAAATGCAAAAAGGAAATAAAAAAAAATCAACGTGATAAATTAATATTGACAAGATTCATATAAAATAAGACGAACACATTTCTCCTATCTGACTAAAAACAGTGTTTGTGTTTAAATTAAACATTAATTTTTCATAAATCTGCAGTTTTAAAACAAATAATTCAAACTTTCTATAAAACAAAGTGGAGATTCATCCAGTTTCTGCTTCTGCACTTTGAAAATCTGTAAGAAGAAGAACTTCCTTTGGCTTTTTCCTCCTCAGGGAGTCCTCCATCTGTCTGTCCTCATTCTGTCCTCTGTGTCCTCCATCTGTCCTCATTCTGTCCTCTGTGTCCTCCATCTGTCCTCATTCTGTCCTCTGTGTCCTCCATCACTCTGTCCTCCGTCATCACTCTGTCCTCTCTAACTGCATCCAGATGTCTCCTCCTTGTCTCTTTCCTGCAGCTGCATTTCTAACCTCCTCCTTCATCTTCTACAGTTTTTGTAACTGAACACATGAAGTTTCCATATTTACATAAAACTCGTTGAATTAAAATTAAAAATAAATCAACTTATTTTTCTGCCAGGTCTCTGTTTTTACATAAATTCAGTGTTTAGCTTAACTTTCTTCAGTTATATGTTCTTTAAATACAAGAAGACAAACACGCATACACGAGTAGAACATGCTAACTCCACACAAAAAGAGCCCAGGTCTAAACCGGGGATTGATCCAGGGACCTCTTGCTGTGAGGCGACAGTGCTAACCACTAATGCCCCGTGCTGCCAAATGATCATTGTTGTAGCTTCAAAGTAACAAAAACACAATAATGGATAAAATAAATTTTATATTCCTATTTAAAAAGTATATTATACACAGTTTTGTTGACAAGAGAGATAAAATAGTCGACAGGTGAGTAAAAAATCACAAGACGATAAAAAATAAAAACTTGAAAAAATAAACTGTTTAAAAAATTACGATAAAATGTTTTGTTCTAGAGTGAAACCTGTACAAGGTAAACCAAATTAAACGTGTGTGTGTGTACCGGTAAATGTTTTTATTTTTTTTACTAAACAGTTAAATATACAAAAATAAAATATTTAATGAGAAATATTAGAGAACAGACCTTTGATCTGTCAATCAAATAAAAGTTCTGGCATCAAAACTTTAAAATGATTTCAATTATTTTCAAAACAATAAAATGTATTTTTATGACAAATGTTTAATGATTTACTTTATTAAAGGTTAAAAAAAACACATTTTACTGTAAATTAGCCTTGGTAATAATATAATAATATATAAATAATATTTTTTTCCTTCAGTTCAAACTAATTAAAACTGTGTTTAATTAGAAAAACAGGAGTTTGTTTATTTGATTAAATCCCATGAATATTCAGAATAAATCTTTCCAGATGGAGGATCTTAAAATGAATGCTTTTTATTTTACAGCTGATTCTTTTAAAGTTTAAAGTCTGTTTTGTGCGTTTGTGATTTGAGGCTCGTGATCTTAAACACGTGACTGTTTCTGTTTGCAGACGACGACTCGGAGCCTCTCCAGAAGAAGCTGCGTGTTTGTGCGGAGGAAACCTCCGGGACGCCTCACTTCTCCGTCCTCACTCTGCCCGGTCAGGCTCCACCGTGCTCTTTAGGTTCTGCCAGCAGATGTTTATCTGTAAACATCCACACAAACATCTGGATGGAGGGAAATATTTGCTTCGTTGTTGTTAAAAAAGTCCCATCAGGCTTCTGTAGCCGTTTGTTAAAGAAACTTAAAGACGCCTCCACGACCCTGACATTATTCGAACACGTTGTTAAATCTTGATATCGGTTTCTCAGATTATGCTGTTGGATGATTTTCAAACTGTCAGGTCGTAGGCAGTGTGTTCAACACAACGGTGCTTCGTCTAGCTTTTTAATGGTCAACGGTGGTGTACCACAAGGTTCAGTCTTAGGACCCACTCTTTTTTTTTTACAATTCATATAAGTAATGTAGGTCAAAACGTTTCTGACGCTCCCGTACGTCTCTATGCTGATGACAGTTGTTTATTGTCGAGCTAAAACAGTTGCTAAGGTTTTCCAGCTTCTCCAGTCTGCATTCAGCATCAACCAGTCAGATTTGTTCCATCTCAAACTGGTGCTGAACGTTGATTAAAACAAAGGGATGTTGTTTTCATCTTTAAATCACTTCTTGGTCTGCTGCTTCATACATCTCCTCCTACATGTCTCTGTGTGAGTGCAGCTACAGCGTGCGCTCTCAGGACATCATTACCTGCAGTGTTCCCTCAGTGAGGACTGAACTAGACTAAAGGACCTTCTCCTGCTCCGCTCCTGTTTCCTGGAAGATCTTGTAAAAAGACCTGAAGCTCTCGACCTTTGACCTCTCTAAGTGTCTTCAAACATCTGTTCAGTTCCTGGTGAAGACCAACGCAGACGTGTCCCTGTTTTTTGTTTTATTTTTTATTATAATCTATTTATTTTTCATTCTGTTTATTATTTTATGATCATCTACTGTTGTCAAATGAGTCCTAGAGACTGAATGAGACTAACCTTTACAATTAAAAGCTGAATGAATTAATAATAATAAATGAATAAACTATTTACTTCTAATTAAATATAACTTTATAAGTATGTTGGATGAAAAAGGTTTTGGAGGGATCCTCTGATTTTAGCTGTTAAAACTAATAAGAACCAGACGTCCTTTGGTTTTGGTTCAATTAAACCCGGATGTTTCGAAGTGTTTCTTCTCTGAGCTGCAGGCGTTTGTCATCGGTAAAGTTGTAACGTTTTGTTTTTGTTGTTTTCAGCGTCGGAGAGCGACGAGAGCTTCGAGGTGACGATGACGGCCACGGCAGAAGGAGATCTGTCCGATGACGGCGTCGCTCAGATCGAGGTCAGACGTGACGCTCGTCTTCATGGGTTTGAATTTAATTCCTCGTTTTTGTGTCGAGCCACGTTTGACTCAAACCTCCCGCCATGAGGTGGAGGGTGAGATGTTTGTGCTGCTGCCGCCGGCCGGCCTACATCAGATGTTCTGAAAGTTCTCCTGTTGTGTGTGAAGATTCTTCCTGAGGATGAGGAGCAGCAGACCGAGGTGTCTCCGGTCAGCCAGGCCTGGTTCACCACCAAAGAGGACAAAGACACGTTGACGAACAAAGGTCCAAACACGTCGTTCTGTTTCACACTCAGCCACACGTGGGTTGGACTGGTTTGTCTCTTAAACTGGGACTTGTTTGTTGGTTTTCATGTTTTTCTTGTCTTCAGGTCACAAGTGGAAACAGGGCATGTGGTCGAAGGAGGAGATCGACATCCTGATGAGCAACATCGACCGCTACGTGAAGGTCCGTCGCTCGTCCGCCGAGTCTTCGCTCGCTTCCGACTCCGCGGAGCACGAAAAAAAACTTAAAGTTCTCGTGTGTTCAGGGCCGCGGGATCCAGGACCCAGCAGAGATCATCTTCGAGATGTCCAAGGAGGACAGGAAGGACTTCTACCGCTCGGTGGCGTTGGGGCTCAACCGGCCGCTGTTCGCCGTCTACAGGCGAGTTCTGCGGATGTACGACAACCGGAACCACGTCGGAAAGTGAGTCCACGAGGAAAACACGACGGGAGCCGAACCGCAGCTCTGAGTGGGCGGTAACTTTTCATGTTTCACCTGTCAGGTACACTCCTGAGGAGATCGAGAAGCTAAGGACGTGAGTGTCTCAGCTTCTTTTAGCTTCTTTTAGCTCCTTGTAGCTTGTTTAGACATCGTCCTGTTTTAATGTTGTTCAATGTGTTTTTGCTTTTCAAGCTTGTTTTAGCTCATTTCCACTTTTTTAGCTTCTTTCAGCTCCATTTTAAATTTGTTTAGGATAGTTTTAGCTCATTTTAGATTGATAGATAGATTTTAGATTTTTGTTTTCTTGTTTTGGTCTTGTTTTGTTTGTCATCTTGTTTTAGTCGTTTTTAACTTTCATAACTTTTTTTGGCTTCAATTTCTTTTTATTTAATTTCAGCTTTTTAGTTAGTTTTTTTTATTATTTTTTTTTACCATTTTTAGCTGCTTTTAACTGTATTTTTAAAGTTTATTACTTGCTTCAACTTTGGTTTAATTTTGTTTTAGCTCTCCTAGCTGACTTTAGCTAATGTTAGCTGGCTTTAGCTAATGTTAGCTGA